TAAATAGTGATGCATACTCAACCTTGGAACAACAGAGCTCTGGGATACAGAGATCTAGGTATAGCTTGAAGAGGGTAAATAATACTAAAATCCTTGACTGCCTTATGACTATTAGTTTCCAATGCCTACCATTGTAAAATAGACACTAGAGTGGGATATAGAAAAGAATGTTGGGAAACATGATTAGAGAACACTCATAAGCCTGCCTTCAGCCTATAACTGATTGGAATACCTAAAAGGGGTTCTACAACTTGCCTAGTGAAATAGGCCTCATGCAAAGCCTTTACAGAGTATAGGACCTTAGGTGGAATCCTGAGTTCCATCTACAACCTTGTGAGGTGAGACATTCCCACTAGAAAGGACAAGCAGACTAGAACAGCTACAGTGACAGAAGATATATCTTCAGGATGAACATGACCTCTAATCAGAGTGGTAGTTACTCTAAATACCAACAGAGAGGGAAAGAGTCTTCAAATCAAGTATCAATGATATCCTCTCTGTACACAGGGTAGATAGGGACGGGCAACTTACACATTGGGTACCTAAAATGAGGGGGCAACAAAGGCATGGAGTGACTGGCTTACAAGGTTTCAAAAGGGAGTTTAGTTTAAGAGTATGGGGGGAAATAAAGAGTCCCCACTGAATAGCTGTCATCTTGTCTAGATGGTTCTGGTGAAAAGAGATGGGTATAAGATTTGTAAGTCAATGGTGAATAATTGTTATCAAGACTAATCATGACTGTTAAAATTGTAAAGGTAGAAATTTTGTAACAAAAAAAGAGGAGAGGTTAATCTTACAGTCCAGAAACAGAGAACTCTAGGACCATCAAGAGAGGAACACACAAGCAGAGTGCGGGACCTTATCCAGAGAAGCAGCAGAGACAGTGATGGAGGCAAAGATGGGGGCATGGAGAGGGGGAGCGGCTGAGGACTCTAGATTCATGGACTAAGAAGGAAGGACTAAGAGCTGGTGGCCAGGAGCAGACTTGCAGAATGTACCCTCTGGAGATGTAAATTGCGATATATGCCTGAGTAGGGTTTTTTGTTTGTTTGTTTTTTAAAAAAGCTAAAGTGGATAGAGAGAAATATTGTTAACTGATGGTAAGTGGAGGGGATTATAATCAATGTAATGAAACAAGGTATATGA